ATCCACCAATTGTATATGTAGAATTTTCTTTATTGATAATGTACTAACTGGATGCAATACTGTAGTAAAATGCTGAGAATTCCATTCTGTATCGAAATTACTGTTTTGTAATAAAGCTATTATCATTCATTCAATATAAACACACTGATTCTATTAATACTAAGTAAAATTCCCATGCAAATAAAAGTATTTGTAGTCCACAGCTGGTTTTTATATTGACGCCGTATGCATCAATAGACACTGATATGCTTTCCAGTATCACAGGGTTATACACAAATTTGATGACAATCTCTGAAACATCCACACTACTGAGGCGTCAAACTCTCATCAAGTTTGCTTGCAGATCAACTTCACACCAAATACGTTTACACTATAGTGAGTATCGCAAATGTGTAACTTAGAAATTGATCCACAATCTCAGTAACATCTGGTGAACATAGTTTTTTTCAGAAACCTCGAGCATTTATTCCCCTTTATGAATTTGAATAAGTTTTATGAATCCTACAGAAATTACATTCTCATAATTAGGAAGCTTTAGCCATCGCATATAAGCTGAACATGCCTTAACTCTTAACTAGTATGCACAGTATTAACAGCATAGAGAAATACTTAAAATATTGTAGGTTTCACAGACCTGTTGCGTTGATGAGGATAACAGTGCCATTTAATGCAACCTAGACATTCAATCGGGACACTGCATTTGCTTTCCTTCATGTTTATGGAAATTTCAGTTCATCTCCACTATTGGTAATCAAAAATATTGCAGCATTAAGTATATAATATCAACTGGAATGGTGTAACAGACAGTTGTTATTTATTATTATTGTATCCTTTAGTTCCTAGAGGAACATAGGGCTTCAGCTGCGCACCTCCATTGCCTTCTGTTTTCTGACAACTTTTTCACCCCGCTCCAGGTCGTAACAGACAGTGAATTGATAATATTAGAGCTGGCCAGATTCAGTTATTGTAATCAACACAATTCATGTGTATACTAATATTATACACTGAATCAATGCACTAATTGAAGCAATCAGGAAAATTAAACAAGTAATTGCCTTCTCTACTGCACTGCATTTGCAACATGTTGCAATCATGAGAACCACCTACATTTCTTAACCAAGCAGTCAGCTAAGCACACAATGGCACAGTATTAATAAAGTTGAGATTTTCTTATACATTGAATCCACATAACCCATATTACACTGCACCAATCAGCGCAAATATATATTAAATCCACTTAGAAATAACCTTTCAACTCACGATAATTCCTGGCAGCCTGTAGACGGACGTAGGTCATTTGATCAGCTGATGTATATTGGCGTTATTTATTGGAAAAACGTCAAGGTTAGGTCATTTTTCACACTTTTTTTACCTATATTCCTGCTAAAAGTTGATGAAATGCGGCCTATTTAGCAGAAAGAGCATATGGTGGTGTCCGTATCCGGACGTAGGTTACAGGCAGTTTATAGTTTGCTGAAAATACATAATTTTTTCGTTCAGAAAATGTCTAATTACTTGAAGACACATGTTATAACGACATTTTGTGAATTTATTTTGCAGTTTAATGGATTACACATGGCCATGATGAGGTGGGATAGCTCGTTTTGGTAATTATTTCACTTACTTTGTTGTGTACTTTGCCTAAATGCTGACAAGGCTCCTCCACATGTATTTCTTTAAGAAAAATCTGCAGAAATACCTAAAAATTATATATGCATAGTATTTCCTTATTTGATGGCATAAACTGGATGTTAGCAGGCAGATGGAATATCAACTTTGCATTATTGAAAAATGTTGACTAACATAATTATATACAGTTCAAATCATTATTTTGTCATTTTAAGCATATTTAATGGTTAATTATTGTGTTTACACTGATAACAATGTCTACATCTGTATAATTCTTATGTTCTTTTTTAGATAATATCTACTTTCGGGAATTTCATGGATTTGGGTGATAAAGAAAAAGATACCTGCACTGTTGTCGATTTTGTATTACATGTTAATTCATTAATAAATGTATTCCTTGTTATTCGTTTGTTTATTCTACTTGATAAGACCGAATATTAGCCCTTGCGTACGTAATATGTGAGGTATAGAGTATATGAGGCTATCTTTGAAATACTAAGTAGGAGCAGATATTCGGAGAAGCCTATTGGTAAAACACTATGTTGTAGTCAAATAAAGTAAATATGTCTAAATCGTAGAGGAGGTATTGCGATTATAAAGCGTTTCGAGTTATCTATCGTCTTAGCAGAATACATATACTGATTCGCGATTCATAGTCACAAAGTGAGAGTAAATCTACCCGAGATAGTTTGCTTGTGACTTCTGCATGCCGCAGTATACCATAAGGAGAGACTATACCTATGCTGTTAGATGTATGACTCAGTGCAACTACGGTTATCGTAATAATTAAAAACAGAATGCCTACGGTTCGTAGTCACAGAACACGGTACGTTGCCATCTGTTCATCTAATCGCGTAAACAAAAGTTTCCCAGACGCCGCATTTACCCCTAATAGTTTACCCTCAATTCCTAACTTAGCACGTGTTACTTATGTTACTGGAACACAATCGCGTAACAACAAAAGGAACACAGATTCATTGAAAAATTGTGCATTAAACAAAAATCAGATTTCAAATGTACAAATAATTCAGATGAGTAGTCCTCTGTTACCGTCAGTAAGTTCCATCTGCGTACACGGTACATATATGTTTTTCCATAAGTCTGAAAAGGTTTAAGAAAAGCATAATTAACTTGGGTATTACATGTATGATCTGAATAAAAAATTTTTCCTGATAAGCATTTACAAGTGATCACTTTACAAACAATATATATATATATATATATATATATATATAAGTAACCCAGTAGCTTTCACTAGACTTAAGGGACTTCGCAACTTATCGTTTGTCGATATCTAGTAGGTCCATCGAAGCATCATGAAATGATAAAATTATTTAACGACAAGTTATGCAGTAGTTTCCAAAGCTTGTACAAATACTTTAGCAAAAATGACAACTTTATGACAAATAATAGGTCTTGACAGCAATAATAATAACGTTCATGTTCATAGTGACTATAAAAACAATAATAGTTATTATTATCGCAACGAATTCATCATTAACTTAGATAGACTACTGATAATAATACAATCATATCAAATAAATGTATCACTTAATCTTAAGAAGCATGTGTTTACTTACTTTCACTGTATTCTCTCAATACTGATGTGCTCAACAAGCTTTTTACAACTGAATTTAAGATTAATTCTGAAAGTGAGTGGAGATCCAGTTTATGCCAAATAAAAACATGTAGCTTACATGTATTAAACTGCTTACTGAGACATCTGGTACCTGCTTTCCGATCTTTGTGACAAGAACACAGTTCATCTAGGTTTACCTACATATACAAAAGTATACGTATGTGCTGCATCAACCATGCCGTTTTTATCATGTTTGGCCAGACCACTGTGTATATTATACTTATTTAAGGATCTCTGAAAATAATGGTCAAGCGATAATTGAAGTTGCGTGAAGTTATTATCTCTTCAAGACATTGTTTGCATTCTTGACACTCCTGAGAAGTCCTTAGATCGTAATTTGGCATATATAACGATATATTGTAATTATTCCAAATATAAATCTCTCATTTTGAATCTCTTCAATGTCCTACTTCTAATTTGGACTAAACGCTCCCTTCTATTCTTCTTGAAGTGCTTGCAGCTAGTCAAACAGAATGTTGGGCTGTTAACAGGTTAGATTCCTATCTCTCAGAAAGAAAGCAGTACACCGTATATAAAGGGAATTCTGCGCTACTTTCGTCAGAAATGTTGAAATTTACAATAAATCCGAGACAGCTGCATTTATAGTGTGTAAACAAATGCCTCAAAGGTAGATACTAGACGACTATAAAATAAGTGAGCAGTTTTGAAATCCTGATCAATGAATTTTGTTATTTGGTATATGGACGCCAGTTGCTACAACAGGTTCACCTGAAAACAATAGTGGTTTATTTCCACCAGACGGTGACATGTAACTTTCTAGATAGAATAATATGGTTATCAACTAACGTGTTTTGAAGACCTTCAGTGATTTGGTTATTCAGTTTTCAGCGTGTCACCATGAATTTTGCACTCAAACACATTTTCCAGCCTTGTATTTTAACGGAAGTCAATAATACGTCCCAAACTACATGTTATGGTAGATTGCCCAATAACTGAATATATGTTAATCCTCTTAGTAATGAGCCCGATTTAGACTTCTGACAGGTCACAATATCTAAGCTACCGGCGGGTTGAGGGGGCATTTAAATCCGTGGCAAACTGAGTAGAAGTTGGGTGCACAGTCTAGTCAGCTACACCACTGCTTATGCACACAACTAATACAATATTACTTTCTCATCATATTAAAACAAGTCATCTCGAAGATTGACCCTGAATTATCCTCAACTTCATCGCAATTTGATGTGTTTCTTTCATGGAAGTTCTATTTACTTATTTCCGATATAAGGACATTCATAGATAGCTTCAACAAAAATACCGGCTCTAGTAGGTGGATTTCAAAGGTTTATTAAGTAAACTTGTATGTTTTCTGAAATACTCAAGATTTCTAATTGCCTGTTATACTTTATTATTTTCGCCTTGTCAGAATTAAATTCGTAATTAAATTATTGTGATTCAATTGTGTTTATCTTTCTATACTGTCACAAATTATTTCAGTTGTTGGCTGTGGATATTCGCAAAGAACGTAATCAACTTATGTAGTGCGTACGGTACACTATGAACCAAAATTTTTTTCCAAGAATAACCATCAGCCCGTGAAATTGCGATATTGATTTTTGATCTGAATGGGAAGAAATACGAAAATATTGTGTATATGCTCGGTTTAATCACACTTATATATTTAACAAAGAAACTTTTATTATTATTATTATTATGTACACTCATTTCTTCAATAAATTAAAAAATAGCGTCCATCAGAATTATCTTAGTGTGTTTACGATGGACGACTGGATTTACTTTTAGGCTGGACTTTCCTTCTCACATAACGATATCGGGATGCTTTACGTCGTCTTCTTTTTCCGACTACCCGACGTACGGATGCTGTGCAAGGTTGGAGGACTGATTCCTCAGACGCTCTAAATTCACTCGATTGATCAGTTACCTGGGACTCTGAAACCATAACTTGGTCATTTGATTCTCTTATTCTTGTACCGGTTTGTTCGGATCGGATTGTTGTTGTTGGTTGAGTGCGGGATGTCGGTATATGAAAAATGTGCCACCATAGAAAACATGGCAATGAACAAAGACGAGGGACTCCCGGGCACGCCGCGCAAACCGTGGTGACGTTCGTTTCATAGTAAACCTCCTTTCTCAGTTTACAGGCAAGACAATCTGTTGAGTCACTGACGACAACACTACCACGTAAGCATTCACATAATTTGTCTATAGTAGTTAACTCGTGTTCATCACTTGATGATTCGTATGCTTGTTGGGAAGTAGAACTACTGCAGGTACTGCTCATTTGACTGTTAGCAGGTACTGTATCATCCTCTGCCTGATTCGATGGTCCACAAAAATCATGATTATTTGTTGTCTCTCCATTCTCAATATTCTCTAAAATGTGATTAATATATAAAAACGAAATCCACTTCAGTTAGAATTTCTTAACATCAACAAGTTCACACTGAATTTACCTCTTAATTTTTAACTTTGAACTGTCACCCTTATTGATTGCAAGTCTAAAACAACTGTATGCAGCTGAAGCCTGGTAGTGAATTCCGCTTGTCAGGGATTAATTAACTCCCACTGCCAAAGTATTTCTGCAACTTTGTTTTCACCAACCAGTCAGTGACTACTCTACATAAGGACATTCGTGTGACCATAGTAGAAAATAAGGTACATAGTTCTATTGTGTGACGAAATGTCGCAGAAGAAAGTTGTCCTGCAAAAACGATAAATATCTATAAAAACTAACTAGTGAGAAATTATAAGTTATGACAATATGCTATTTAGATCTAAATACTGCTACCATCACAAGGATATTAGAGATGGTCATAGAGAAAGCATGAAGCTGATCTCCATTTCCAAGTTGTTAGTCAATACACGCTAGTACATTAACTAAAGCTCAACACAGAAAACTACCTCTGACAGCTCATAGTTGACTTTGCACATGTATTACCGTTTAAAGAAGCATTTCACAAGTCCAATTATCCACTTGCTTAACTCCTAAAAAATTCCTAATGAGTTTGCCAGCTTACCGGATAGGAACACCTGTAGCGCTAAATGCACACTACCACTTACTGACTGTTTGAGTTTTCGATATGAAACTTTACGACAAAAGTGAGGCAGTTTAGGTTGCCACGCTCCATGAGGCGCAAAAATTGAAAAAGAGAAAGGACCTATTGGAAAAGGAAATTTGCAAAATAATGAATAATTATATTGGAAATAACGAAGACTTAATGGCTCTGAGACATTATAAACAGCGAATGCAACTATGCAATTAACAACGACTCTCAGTCATATCATCAACAGTCTTACATCTCGAGAAATACAGCCAGACAGTCCACATCTCATTACGTGACTCAAACCACCGGTCAAAGGCACCAAGCATTGATGTCAAGTTTTGACTGCACCACAACTAACTCTCTTCCAACTTAACCTCAGGTCGGTTAAGACTGCTTGACAAGGAAGGTGATGGCCTCAAATACATAACACATGTCCTAACCATCTCAATTGATCCAGCTCCAGAACTTTAGCAGTTGACTTGCCTCTCTCACCTAACTTTCTACACCCAACCTCTATATAAATCACCATATTATGCCATTTAACACGGGAGACAGGACGCGAACAATTATGGCCATGCACAGCCGATCTTTTCTTATTCTCCTCCTTTTACGGCCCCGTCTCAGTCTTAGAGAGAGAGAGAGAGAGAGGAAAAGCGAACTGCTGAGCACTACATATCTTTTTTCGATAGCCAAACATCACGCCAACACCAAGGATAACTTAAGCTAGCAAATGCACACAAGCCTTTCGTATCTGTGCTGAGCTTTCGTCAGCAATCACTACATTAATGCTGATGCAACTTCTCGAATAAATGTAGTGGTCAACACGCCCAACCACTTTACTTCCTACCGATGCACAACGCTCATCTAGAATTATCTTACATTTCACAGAAGCGAATCACATGTCAAACATACTAAGATTTTTGCTCAACGTGTTCAGAAGACTCCACATATCGTCACCAGATTTACCTACAAGAACAATATCATTTGCATACTATATAGAAATGAGACTGCTCCTTACAACAAGTCGATAAAGTCAATTACGGTTGCATTTATCAGTGTTTATACGATGAAATTAAACAAAAATGGAGACACTGGGCATCCCTGACGGACATCACTGGTCCTCAGATGACAACTTTCCGTATGCTCTTGCACGGCTGTGTGATTTCCAGTAGAATGCTCTCATTGGTGTAGTGTTCTTTCTCGGCACTTTCTTCACCATCAGACATTGCCACGGCATCTTTCATTCAACAGAATAGAATGTCGCCCTCAGGTGGAGATATGGAAAGTGTCGGACACCAGCAAGTATGTCTATGTTTATTGAAGGCCGAAGATAAGACCAATACAACATCGTCCGAACCTAAAGCCTGCTTCGTCCCCCGGAGTTTGTTTCTCCTGAGCAACACAGTCTACAAGAGATTTCTGGACCTAGAGTTCTAGATGTTGTTAGTCAAGCCAATTTCCACCACTCTCCTCCAATCTTGATTGTCTCTGGGATAATCAAGAATTTACACCAGTCTAACAGAACTGACTAACTAGCCTAGTTTCAACATAGAACTTTGTACAGAAGTGCACCAGTTCAAGTTGCCACACTCCATGCAGCACACAAAGGCAGGAAAAAGAGAAAAACAGATTGATATCAGCTAGAGAACCATTAAAAACGAGGGAGTACTGGACAGCTGTTTCATCCTAGTTTGGGAATCATAGGCAGCACGCACCCACTGTGGTTTGACCCAGGACCTTCCAGTTACAAAGCAAGCTCGTGATCAAACCTGTATGAACAAATCTATTCCTTACAAACCAAACTCGAGAAAAAAATTCAAAAGAACCATATAAAGCAGAAATGTACGAGAGAAAGAATAGTAACATGGAAAAATGACGGTTTAGTGGATTTGGAAGATTAAAAAGGGTGGATGCATCTGCGCCATTAAGAGCAATTTTGAGCTGTGTTCACCAACAGTCTCCAGCTATTGGTACTCAGCATCCTGACAACTCTAACCAGTCTAACGGGACTGTCTCGGATCCCCACATACTCCTTAATACCTTTGTTGACTCGGTGCTGAGTTCATCACCATCTTTAAACACCTCTGGAGTTACATCAGGTCCCGCTGCTTCACCGTGTTTCACACTAGAAATCAATGTATGGATCTGCTCCACAGCCTATTCAAAGTTATGAGAACAGGCAAATGATCAAATATTCGTAACTATATCATCTATTCTCACTTTTATTTCCCAAAATATATACATATATATATATATTCATCGGCGAGAGTCCTAACCACTGTGCCACACATTAACGCAGTGATACACGAAACGAAAACAATCTTCAAATTCTACCGTCTAAATTGAAGCATCGTCTTTCGCTTATTTAAGCAGAATTCATGCAAATAAATACATTTGAATGCAATCTTAATCCATGACATTATATTCCATTTTAGATGTAAGTAAACATATCTATAGGTGTCAATAGAACACTATAGTGTCGTGAGGAGTAAGCCTATTATCGTTCATCAGTAAAAAGTGGCTCACATCACAGAATGCACGTAAAAACTATCAGAAAAACCTGCATTTTACACACTGGGGTTTTGGAACTTACCCAAAAGAACCTGATGAAGGATGAAATGAGTGGTATTGGCAATCAGTTGTAATATTAGAATTAAGCGTGTTGAAGGGTGAGCCGATGGAAAATGCCTCTTCTTCAAATATCTGTTGGCTAATTTCATGAGGATTTTCCGACCTAGTCATTATTATTTTCTGAACTTTTACATGGAACAGACACCAGCGAAACACAATCGGCCTTACGACTAGCCCTAACCAGTCTGATGAAACTGTCTCGGATTCCTATACACTCCTTAATATCTTAGTAAACTCGGTGCATAATTCATCATCACCTTAAAACACCTCCGGAGTTATATCACTAAGTTCTGTTTTTAAGCGTTGCAGATTAGGAACACCTGTAACTTGTGTTTAATATTTGGAAGACTGATGTCTACAACCCACATAGCTGGGCAAGTTTAGCGTGGCTGTAAACCGGTCAAATCGCTTTACAATGTACCCCCTTCGTCATCATCTCATTATCATGTTCACTTAGTTCACGGATTTCCTCCTTCCCACAGATATCAATGAGTCCTTACTAATTGCTGTGTAAAGTGAACATTTTTTTGACTTTTCCCAAGATATGACTCCTAAATTTCTCCTTGATCAGCATTATTAGTACATTTTCAGCAATGTGCTGCATACTGCACAGTGGTCATTCCTTAGTGAAATCCTGAATAATCGTCATTATACATCAAGTTGACACAGAAAGCAGACAGCACTTTGGATTAAGAATGTAATTTCATCTGTCTCACCTATTCTAATCTTTTCGCAGCACATGTACAGTTGAGATCTCCAGCCTCAAGGCGATGACGGTTAGACAATCGGTCACTATAAATCATTCTGATAAAAATATTTTTATTCTGAAATGAAGTTAAAGAACACAGTCGGGGGGACAAACACACCAGTGACCTTGGGACTGTCAACTCGGATCCTTAACTCAACCACTGCGTAATATACTCCCGCCTGCCACTACCGCAGCCTTAACCTAACCCTAATCTGACTTCAAACTAGCAAAATCAGATGTTCTTACTGGATTTAGTACTCTTATGAGTACACTGTTATTCAACTGATTTCGCTGCCTGGCTGAGATCAAGATTTCCAGGGTCAATCTTGCGTCCATTCCTCAGTGTCTATTCTTTACTTTCGCCGAGAGAATCACATGACAGCAGCTAAAAAGATTTGAGGATCATAACTTATTCTAATTGTAATATAATCCCTCAAGTTGATGAAGTATCAAACTGATATGTGCAGTCACCCAGTCAACAGATGACTACTTTGAAGACGAGGAAGTCAATCTAACCCAAACCCATTGCACTTAGTTGACTGGTTTTCTGATTCTAATGAAATAACAAATACTATCTCCCTGTGCTACTTGCTTTCCAAATGACTTGCCGTCTTAGGGTCATTTATACAAATGTAAAGTTCACTCCCAAAAATGTGATACATACCACTGCCAACAACACTGTTTTGATCATCACTTAGTTGTGAATCCACCTCGGTGTCCATACTCTGTTGAGCTGTTACATATGCTTCCTGAACACTTACTGTATTTGTACCTGAAAATAAATCATTGATAAGTCTTGAGAAACATATTACCTCTCCTTCTCATCTCTATAACGCCTCCTAAATTTCTAAGATCTCTGGATATCAAACTGACGATATGTTGCTGCAGGGCGCATGTCATGTTTAATGCATGACCCAGGTCAGTAAAGTCCATATCGCCAGTCAAAGCATGCGCATAATGAATCTGAGACAAAATTATAAAAGAAAGTTGTACATTTACCGCGTCAGCATACTGTCTCAGATAGTCGCGTGAGTCACCAGTCATAATTGAAATCCAACTGCGCGCCTTAAATTGGGATTCAATATCCAATATCGTTTGTACAAGCTAGTATTTGATTTCCACTCTCACTGACCTTTAATTCCTCCACTGCGTTCAGAAGAAAAATCCTGGAAGAGCTGAATATTTTTGTTAAGGCATTTTTGTTGCTTTTAAGCTGTCATTTCACGATGTAAACACTAAATTTGAGGTCTTCAGTGCTAGGATTGATTAACTATTAATATAGTGTTCAAAGTACTGATCTTTTGGGAATTTCGTCGAAAAATTTCATCATGAGCTGACATCAGTTAGAGAACCATTGGAAAACTTGGGAGTGCTGGACAGAAGACATTGCAAAGTGGACGCGCTATATCATGAATTGGCCGAAGTTAAAATTCATGGGCCATTGAATCGGGTCTCAGAGTCTGCCGAATGGCATGCGAGCCTCCCTTGTAACCAGAAGGTCCTGGGTTCCGACCCCAGTTAGTGTATACTGATCAAGAGTCCCAATATAGGACGAGACAGTTTTCCAGTACTCCCAAGTTTTCCAATGGTTCTCCAACCAATATAGTGTCCCATTAAACTCTGATGTAATTCTCCATCATTGGCTGATTATTGATCAGTTTTCGTGATCGTCAATCAGTCAATAGAAGGTGAATAAAGTCGTCTCAGAATTCATGTTCATGTTTTGACAGAAGACAGATATAGGTGAGTATTTGTTGATCCTTTTCTGTTGGGGTTGTTTCCATTCACCTGTCTCAAACTATATTTTAAAGAGATAGGCAGCGCTTGTTTAAGATCTATTCCAAAGGGTTAATGACTAAATGGCACACATAGTGCATCACAGAGACAGAGCTGGTTGCTGTCTTCTGCAGTCTCCTAGCGTGCCCTGTGTGGTGCTCTGACTTCAAAGTAAAAGAACTTAGACCGGGTCCATTGTTACTCCCTAAAATTCTGTACGATATAGACTGTCTTTCTTTGTAACGTGGAAGTGAAAACACACTTAACCTTTGTAGCAGTAAATAATTCCCCGAAATTATTGACCACAGCACTCATCACTGAAAATTGGGTGCCGACACTCACTGTTTATTTCAACTTGTTTAGCTGAAGGCTTCTGGTCAATCATCCACGCCATTTGGTACTCCGTCGTGTCACATTCGTTCGTTCGTGCACGATTCTTAACTTAACGTGTTTATTTTTGAATATTAAATAAAAATTGTCCATTCGCCTCCACGAATGGACAATTTTTACAATATTCAAGTTGAGTACACACACACGAAAATAAAGTACAAATCAAAACAAAAAATCAATAGAAAAAGTACAAAATAATGAATAATAAATAACTTAAGTAACCTTCGTAAAGATGAATAAATGTAGGAAAGTAAATTACTCAATTGAGCTATCAAAAGTAATCGACAGAAGTGTGGAAAAATTAGCACAGCAGCCCATGTTGAACACAATGATGTGCACTTATTCCGAAGCACTGTCAGTTAGAAGTGTTTGTACATACATATGCACCGACACTATCATGATCATAGCACAAGACACTTGAGTTCATGGCCGACTTTTTCATTGTGGACGACAACACCGACGACGACTGATTGATACCAGTTGATGAACATCATGAAATGTAATACAAGTCTGTAATAATTTTGAGCATGTGAATGTTGCTTGCAAGGGCAAGGCATATATCCCGGGAGATAGCTGACACAGTGTCAACACCAAACGCGGATACTAATATCTCTAATGTATTAATATCTGATTATCACAAAGGTGTCTCTCATTGCATACAATGTCCAAACCAAATACCATCCCTGATTACCACCCACCTTAAGTCTTCCTATGATCCGGAGATATTGGTAAATGATAGGATACTCACGGATTATTTTATCAGGATATTGTCCGCTCACTGAAACCACGAAGCCATTGATTATCTATTATCCATTTGGCGTAATTCACACGCGAGACACATTGTGACACTCATAAACATATATATACTCATTGAACCGATAATACTGTTATTAACCTCCTAAAGTGCCTGATAACCTTGTTTATTCTATGTATTCTAATTGTTCTATACTATATACACTCATAGAACATATCGTCCCTATTCACTTCTCCCGATGTTAAATACTATCGCTACATTCAACTGTCGATGCTACCCCATGATTCATACATGCAAATGACATTCACGGGCTCAAAATTATTAGAGACTTGTATTACATTTTATGATAGTATAAACATACATTATTACGCATCATACTTTTGTACCAGTCACTGACAGTTTATGAGACTTGGCTGACAGATTCTGATAGTTTTTGGATAGTTTCCGTTCGTCTTTCCCGGTGCCTTCTAGTCTTCTTTAGACAGGTATTATCTGGAACTTTTCTGGAATTTTGGTTAAATTCAATGATGCCTGGGTCAAAGAAGAAATAGGGAGGGCACAACTCCCCAACTTGGTCATTGAAATCGCCTGCTAAAACAACTATGTCTGAACGTTTTGCTTTTTGCAGCAAATTAGACAGTTTCAGGTAGAAGTCATCTTTTAGTTCATCCGAACTGCAGCTGGTTCTGGCGTAAACGGAGACTACGAAAAGGCAACGACGAGTAGCGCAGTCTTTCTTTCTTTTGACGGACCCATTCAGACGGACCGCACACATACGGCTATCTGCTGGAATCCAGTCAAGAAATGATTTTCCCGCCCTAACACTCAGTGCTATACCTACACCTGCGAGTCCTCGCGAGCTAGCTGAGGGGTCTCCTGAGACTACAAAAAGGCAACGACGAGTAGCGCAGTCTTTAGGTTGAAAAGTTGGATCAAGGATTGCCTTTATCTTAACAGGTGACAAACTAGGGCCTATGTATCTGATGCCTTTGATAGACAGACTAGTAGTATTGTCAATCAGTCGTTTTCGGCGGACGTCTACGAGTAAATCATGATGATTAAGTAGGCCCGTGCCAATGATGGGCATTGTAACGTCAGCGAGAAGGAAAATCCATCGAATAGGTTTGCGTAAACCTACGTTCAGACAGACGTATTTCCTACCAAAGGTTGCGATTGGTTCTCCATTTGCAGCCTGTAAGTTGAAGGTAGGTTCCTTCTGTCGATCTGCCACTGTAGCAGGAAGGACGCTGACTTCGGCGCCTGTGTCGACTAAGTATCGAGTCTGGCTTATCACATCATGGATGTAAAGTAGGCGGCTAGTGCCACCGGCGACGGTTGCCGCTAACGCGTTCCGGTGGGATAGTTTCCCGCAGACTTTGAGACATTTCCGAAGTTACAAGGCTTACAGCAACACTTAGCTTCTTGGCCATAGGTGTTGTGGTACCAGCACCAGTCAGGGTTATTCAGTGAACGTGGTTTGGACTTAGATCGACCACGCGAGTTCCTGCGTTGAGGAGATTTAGGACGACGGTTGGAGGATTTAGAATGCATGTTTGACCTAAACATCTGCTGAAGGGAGTTGCATAACTCTATCATTGCAGGATCCTCACTCGAAGTCTGCTTAGTCATTGAGCATATTTCGGGAACAGACCGTTTAGTTATTTCTAGAATCTTATCTGCAGTAATAGCTAAGTTCTCTATTACAGTACCCTCAAGTGTCACATGTACGGTCTGTACAGATTGTGGCAACTTGGTTAAGAAGAGTTCTCTAAACAGTCCTTCGTCGAACTGACTTTGGCCGACGACTTGTTTCATTCTTGTCAGCATGCTCACGGCTGACTGATCTCCTAACTCGATGTTGCGAAATAATTCATCTAGACGTTGTCTGTCCGTGAGAACGTTTCTCCTGAGGAGGGATGCTTTCAGCAACTCGTACGAGTTACTTACCTCGGGACTCAACATCTGTGATGTTACGTACTTGCTGAATTCCCGCGGTAGGGCGTGAATAACTGCAAGTAACTGTGAACGTTGATCGGTTATCCCATGCTCACAAAAATCTGCTTCAGCTAGCAGAAACCACGTTTCATCATTATCTGGCCAGTATGGTACGAGCTGAATGGTTTTGGGAGTTTAGCGGATACGGATGACCTTGGGACTAAGATCACTCATGACGAAAATTATGTCGAATAATATATTGTACAAGAACAAATACAAAATGGAACGAACTCACCGGGGTTATCTCCGGATTTTTCGTGGATCAAGTTCGCGGTTGGGCTCACCAGTTTAAAGGTTGACGGATATTAATGGTTTGACGTGATATCTCGTTCAACAACTTCTAATTAATTTATTCTCGCGTACCAAAGACAAAGCAAAAGCCAATAGTTGATCGTCCAAACCAAGATATATATTTAGTAACCAAAACCGGCCGTTAGACGAACGCTTAGCTAGCTAGTGATCGTGCACGTGACACGACGAGGTACCAAATGGCGGGGATTCTTGACCGGAAGCCTTCAGCTAAACAAGTCGACTTAAACAGTGGTGGTCAGCATCCAATGAGTGATTGCTGTGGTCAATAATTTTAGGGGAATATTTACCGCTACAATACCATACTTGGCACGTATTTTATGTGATGAAAATAGTGTCAGACAAGAATTAACTAACCTTTTTTCATCTAGTAAATAAACAATTTCCTCCATCCATCCTTATATACCTTCAAGTTTTACTTTTATTATTTCTATTATATTTATGGTCCTGTTACTTCTCTGTTTTTTACTCTCAGAATTGCAAACACCAACTTATCTCCATGACGGCTGTAATCTTTGTTTTTCCCCTCACCATATCATGTAAAAAGAACATTATATTCAATATTTTTAAACATGTTAGGATTTCTATATCACATTGACAATACTGTGTGACGCAAGCCAACGGCATTTTTCACTTGTATTCTTATTACTATTACCCTAGCTGTTATCATTATCATTGTTATTTCCATTTTATATGCTGCATGTTTTTGACACTACCTCTATTGTAAATGTGGAAAATT